TAAGTGGCTGCCCCACCTGCCCCTGGGCTCGGGACAGTCCTCGGTCAGAGCTGGGCGCCCAGCCATGCCTGTGTCCCGTGTCCTTTCCAGACGGGACAGGCAGCAGGACAAGCAGGGGGTGGGGGCAGGGGTCCAGAGGAGGGTCGAGGAACAAGTCCCGAGTCAGCCGGGTCAGTGCCTGGGGATGGACAGCTCCACCCCCACCACCCGACCCGGAACCCCAGCACTTGCATAGAGAGGCCCTGGCTGGGCCGGACACCCTGATCTCAGGGTCAGGAAAACCAGGCGCCCCTTTAAGCTGGTGTCCACCCCCGCTGGAAGCCAGGAAAGGCCTGGAGCTGGGGCTCTGTGGCCAGGCGGGGGCAGGGGAGGGGTGAGTTGTGACGCTCCCAGTGGAGGGGTGACCTGGGCTGGAGGGGTGGCCTGGGCGCAGGAGCTTCTGCCCTGGGGACTGGACAGAGGGCACCACAGAGCCCGCTGCACCTGACCTTGGGCCACGGTGTCTAGCAGGTACCCAGTGAATGCAGCTCCCACAGCGCCTCCTGCAGTCCAGAGTGGGGCAGCGCCCTGGAGTTCGGCCCCAACCCAGGGGGTAAGTGAGGTGGGACCTGGTCAGCTTGGCTCAAATCCCTCAGCCTGTGTCCAGCCCAGGTCGCCCCTCTTCCCTTATTCCCTGCCCGGCTCCGCCCCTCGGCCTCTGCGGGCTAGAGCCGGGCCTCCTGCAGCCCCTGCCTAGTGCCTGGTGGCCAGTGGCTGACCTTCTCCACAGGGAGGAGCCTGTCCCTACCCCAGGGGTCCCTGGGAGTCCCGAGTCCGTGCTGCCTAATGCCAGCAAGGGCAGGGCCATCTCCCAGGACACACCACCCAGGCTCCAACTCCCAGGGTGGTCGGAATAGCTGCTGCCAACCCCAGCCCAGCCCCAGGAGCGGAGTTGGGAGGAGGCACCTGTCCCACCCGTGCCACTGGGAAGGGCAGCAGCACTCCTGAGCTGGAGACGCCTGTCGCCAGGTGACCCCCGCCCACCTTCTCCCCACAGACCATCTGCTCCCAGCGGACCCTGCGGACGCCCACAACCTGCACTCGCTCACCTCCATCGTGGACAGCATCACCATGGAGGATGTCTCTGTGGCCTTCCCGGAGGAAACCCTGCCCAACTGAGGGGGTCTGCGGCAGGCGGCCAGGGGCCCACAGGCTGGCCACAGATGCCGCCACTGGGGCACGGAGGCCGCCGAAGCCAGGCTGTCCTGATGCCAGGAGGCCAGCCTGCCCCTCTCCTCGCCTGTCGAAGGTTCAGCCACCACCCAGAGAGGGAGTGGGCGCTCTCACTTGGCTGACTGCTCAGAACTCCCAGGGCCATCCGGGTCCAGGGAGACAGAGCAGGGGACCAGAGCGCCCGCGGGTGCCTCGCTCAGGGGCAAACTCAGGAGCTTCCCTTCGCGTATAACTCAGCCTTTGGCTCCACCCCTCCCCCCAAGGCCAGTCTGAGCGACAGTGTCCTGACCCGGACACACGTGCACCTCCGTCTGCTGCTCCTGAGGCAGCGGCTGGGCTGGGCCTGCCCTGACTCAGGAGCAGGAAGAGGTGCCCTGTCCCCAAGTCCCCGGGGGCCAAGCTTCTGCCGTGAACACTGGGAAACCCCAGGTTTTATGTTGTTTGTTTTGTGTGTTGTTTGTGAAGCTGCCATCTGACCAAGGTGTCCTGTGCAAAGTTGCCAGGTACGGGATGGGGGGCGGGGCTCTTGGGGTGACTTCCTTTGATAACTAAGCATTGTGTGGTTTTGCTATTGTTTTGTAATTTTTTTTGCTAACTTATTTGGATTTCCTTTTTTAAAAAATGAATAAACACTGGTTGCTACATGTCCGTGATGATGTAGACAGAGGGGTGCCTGCCGCTCCTGCGTCCTTCAGTCCAGACACGCCCAGGATCGGGCGTGAGATCCCATTGCTGGTGGTCACCGGGCCCTGGGACCCCTGGAAGCCAGGTCGGTCCACAGGCCAGGGAAGACACGCCAGCCCCCTGCTGAGGCCTGTCACCCTCTAATTCACGACACCGAGCACTCACTACCATCCCGCCAGGTCCTCCAACGAACTGAGCACAGGCCTGGCGCCCAGCCCACAGCCCGCGGGTGGGGGTGCAGCTGGAATCTGTGGGTTTCCCTCCCAGATCCCTGCCTCTCCTCTGGGTGGCATTACCAGGAGCCCGTAGGGAAGTGGGAGATGATGGAATCCCACTGCACCCTTCCACCGTCCATCATCGGGCAGAGGGGGCTGTGGCCTGGCCTGCAGCCCAGAGGATGGAGACTCAGCAGTGGGGGAAGCGCAGGGGGCTCCCCAAGAGCCACCACAGGAAGGGACGCTGAGGTTGCTGCTTTCAGTCTGGCTTCCTGAGGGCGAACAAGGACTGGACACGTGACACCAGGTTCAACGGGGGAGGCATCAGGAGCTAGAATTTCCCTGGACCATGAACATCCACTAAAAACTTTATTAATTTCAACTGCTTCAGGCTGTTCGTCTGACTTATTGCAAGTTATAATTTTCAGAAACATGACAGAAGTCAGGACTCTGCGTGGGGTCCCCTCCAGCCCCAACTCAGTTCTCTGGGGCCCTGAAGAGGGGGACCCCAGGTGCTGAGCAGACGCTGGTGCCCGAGGGCTCAGCCCTCCAGACTTGCTCCGGAAGACAGGGCCCCACATTCAGCCCCCCAGGATGTGCCCAGAAACTGCATAAGAAAGAGGAGGAGACAGGCAGGCTCAGGCCCCGGGCAAGGGTGAGGGCGAGGGGCGGGCCTGGTGGGATCACAGGTTGGACCGACCTCATGTGGGGTCTCCCTCTGCCTTTGCATCTCGGTGTTTCCTATCAGCCCTGGGAAGGGTCCAGGGAACACCTGGGTCCCTCCCTGACTCATCCGGCCTTGGACAGGAGGGCTGCTCAGGCCCATTTCCTCTGCCCAGCACCCTCCAGGCTGCCGGGGACACAGATCACTGCCTTCAGGTGCCCCCGGGCTGGGGCTGGGGCTGGGGCTAGGGCTGGCCAAGGTCTTCCGTCTCTGTTCAGGACCTGGGGGGCTCTGGGGTTGCTGGGTGTATTTTTAAAGTTTATTCCTCTGTAGTTATCAAGTCATTTGGGAGCTGAAGTTCATACTCATACGCTGGTGAGAGCAACAGTCCTCAGTGGTGGTCAGGGTTGGCAGTTCCCTCCGGGGCCGGGTGTGGCCATGGCCTGCCCTGCTTCCCACCACGGAGGATGCAGCAAGGACTGCACAGTGACGGCTGCTCTGCCAGCCTCACCCTTACCACGAAGCCCAGGGACTTTCCTACATTAACAAGAGCGCAGCCTTCACAATTACATTCCAGAGAAGGAGGAATGAATAATGAGGGGAGTTCTTTAGGGAAATTAGCCTAAGTCCCAGTCTCCAGTGGAAGCGCCTACAAGAAATCAAACTGGGTTAATCAAATGTCGCGGAATCAGACTTTGGAGAATCAGGCTGGAAGGAGATCATGGCTGGCAAGGGGTCTGGCCAGCAGCCAGGCTGCCCTCCCTCCCCACCCCCGGGCACAAGCAGCCCAAACCGCCCTCGCAGGCCCGGGGTATGTGGAACAGAAGCTACCGCCCTCAGCTCTCCAAGGAACTGCTTCCCCAAGGGCAGCCCTAGGCACGGAGGACGGACATGCAGGTGAGCTCCAGGTTAGAAGGACCAGAGCCATGTTCACGTTGTCGTAAAACCAGGTTTATTGGTGGGGCACACGCACACGCACACGCACGCACACCACAGGCACCCCTCCGGACGCACGGAGCTAGCACGGTGCTGAGCAGGGACCTGAAGGAAGCTGTGAGGGCTCAGGCCTTGGGACTCTGCAAATGCACTGACTGAGAAACAACCTCCTGAGCAGCAGACAGCAGCCTCACCCCCACCGGCCCCTCCTCCATCGCCTCCCGAAACACCCCACGCCCCCCAAAGGGACCCAGGTCCCCCAGCTGCTGCCTCACGGCACAACCGCGTGGAGGACGGCCGCGCCCGCGTACCAGCTTGTCAGGTCCCCTGACCATCACACGGCCTCGTGGTCCCCACTCCACCAACCAGAGCCTGGGGTTTCCCCACGACCTTCAGGCCCATCACCCAAGCACAGGGCTTTCTCTCCCCGCCCTCATCTCCACAGTGGCTGATGCCGGGGCGGGCAGGGCACGAGGGGAGCCCCCACCCCAGCATGGGGACCTCACCTCTGAGACGTCGCCAAGTGCTGAGCCTGCACTGCCCCGCTAGGGCGCCACACTCAGACCCCAGTCCAGCTGCTCAGCCACCGGCCGGGGGTGTGGCCTCCACACACCTGCCTCTGCTCTCTTGGATGAAGCCTGGGCCCCACCCACATCCTGAACTTGGGTCCCCAGCACTTCCGGCACCGAGGGGGGTGAGGAATGGGCAAGCAAGAGGATTTCCTGGGAATGCCATGCTGCTGGGAAACGCTGCCCACTTGGTAGGAATCTCTAGAGGAGGCAGTCCCTGCACACCCAGGGAGCCTTCACCCACATTCAATGACTTGGGCCAGGCCGACTCACTTAGGGGAAGCATCAAGCTCTTCCCAGGAGAGAAGGGGAGGCAGCCTCAGTCTCCCTCCTCCCCAAGCCCGAGCTGAGGCAGGGCACACTCACTCCACCATGGGCGCGCGCGATGGGGCTGGGATTCCTGCAGGGGGCTGAGGGGCCGAGGGACAGGGTGCGGAGCAGGGCTGGCAGTGCCTGGGGTGTGGGGTGATCTCTGTCCTGCCCAGAGCTAAGGCCGCAGGCCTCGACCCTCCCCCACACCATTCCCCACCCCCCAGCAGCTCTACCCCAGGCGGGACGGGTGGCATCCCACTGCCCTTTGGGTGAGGCCACCACAGCCTCTGGTCTCCTCCCCTGGCCAGCCTGTGCCTCACTGAATGGGGGGCTGTTTCCACACCTGGACCCTCGGCCCAAAGCGCAGGGGCCCATTTCTCCCAGATTCTTCTCAAATTCGCAGCTGGGATTCAGCTTGGGCCAGGCCTGGGGCCTCCTCCCCAGCCTCACCCAGGACAGGCTTCCTGCCGCCCAGCCCGCAGGGGGTCCTGGAGCAGAAGCCATGGCAGGCAGGCCACTGGGCAGAGCCAGGACAGGGACAGGGACCAGAGGCCCGACAGCCCACACGCAGAGGGCGAAGTGCCCTTTTCTCGGCAGGTCGCCCGGCCCACGGCGGTTCCCTGGTCTCCCCTGGAAGTCGAGTCCAGGCGAGGCCAGGACCAGGAGGGAGGTGGAGTCACAGCCCACCCGGGGCTGCGCGACTCCAGGAGGCACAGCCACATCAGAGATGGCAACGGACACGCGGGGCCTGGGCTGGCGGACGGCCCAGGGGTGGACGTGTGTATTCGGAGACCCAGGGCGGCTGGAGAGTCACTGAAGAGCCTGGGAGCCTGGAGGAAGGGGTCGAGCGGGAGGGGTCCAGCGGCCGCGCCTGTGGAGCCCTGGGGCGTGGCTAGTCCCGGAAGGCAGAGAGCATGTGTCCGTAGAGATAGTGGGAGTGCGCTGAGAGAGAGGGGGGCGTTAGCAGTAGACGATGCCTCGAGCGGAGGCCGGGTGGCAGGGCACCCCCAGCAAGCAGAGCACCAGGCCAGATGCAGCAGAGCGCGCGGCCAGCCGGGAGGGCGAGGAGGCGCGAAGGCCGTGGGCTGGGCTGGCCCACTTACCCCGAGCACGGGCCACGGGCACAGGGCCAGACCGGGAGGGTCAGCAGGTGTAGGTCCGCACCGTGGAGGTCTCCGGTCTCTGCGCCCCGGCCGGCCCGGCTGGGAGAGGCGGCAGCCGAGAACACACAGGCGGCTGTTAGTATGAGCGCTTGCGCTGGGGCGGCCAGGCCACGGCCACAGCAGGTCAGTGCAGCCTCAGGCAGCCAGGCAGACAGTGTCACTCACCTTCAGGCGTGATCTTCTTAGGCTGGGCCAGTGGAGGCTGCAGGGACCCCAGCGGGGACACGCCGAGCACGCCTGCGGAGAGGTCCCGCGGCCGGAAGCGCTTCCTCCAGGAGGGGGCGCGGCGGAACACCTTGTCCTCCCCCTGCAGGGGACACAGTGGGATGGTCCCTGGATGACTCCTTGGCGGGAACTGTCTCTGGGAGGGGAGGCCTCTGGTGGGATCTGCCCATCACGCACCCGTCATCTCACCTGGGCTTGGGACCCCCCAGGACCCCCCAGTCTTTCTCCTGTGTCATCCGGGGACGTGCTCACCAGGCAGCCCCCACCCAGCAGGGCCTCCCTGCAGGGCACTGGGGAGATCAGATCCCCGAGAGTGGTGTCTGGCAGTCTACTCCTTGCCTGGAGCCCACACACATGTTTTACACATGTGTGTGTATGTGCCTGTGTGTGTAGCCAACTCCAGGGCACCCCATGCAGTCGGTGCTGGCAGCCTGCGTGTGTCCTGTCTGCTGAGGCCCCGCGGTCATACCACAAGGAGGGCTCAGCCCCAGTAGGAAGGAAGCTCTAGGGCGTCTCAGGCCGGTGATGTGAGCAGGGGCCTCGGGGCCTCGGGGTGGAGGGTGCTCACAGAGCAGACGGAGTGAGGGAGGGGAAGCCGCCATTAAGCGGTCTGGGGTCCTCTGTAACTCGTTTGGAGCCAAGGAGCTAAGGCCGACCTGACAGGCAGGGGCACGCAAGGCCGGGGAC